CAGTGCAATTATTTACTCTCTGCCTTTTCTTGCATATAAAAAATGTCTAATGTTTATTAGTTTCTGATAACTGAATATAATCTCTTAACTCAAGCATTTCAAAACTACTAACACATAAATCATCTATTATGAAGCAAAATCAAATAGATTATGTTTAGAATATCTATACAGATTAGAATACATATGTCAAGTAACAAAGGGCTAAAGCATTGTCCTTACATAAAATCTCATTGTTTATATCTTCTTGAAATACAAGTGAAAAAACACTTATACAGGCTGAAAAAAAAATCCAAATTATTCTGTTTCCAGATGGTGAAAAAGACTTTCCATTTCTTAACAGCTACATTGTAATATTATTTGAATTTATTTCCTAAGGGGATAATAGTTTAAGAACCACAGAAAACCTCAATATTTATAAAATTATCATTATTGAGTTGTTCATTCCAAGCAGTATGGTTGCAAAGATCACTCTACAATGCAACTTGAAACCAATAAATCTCTAAATTTAAAAGAAACTCATAATCTACTTTTCTAAAAGCCCCAAATAAAGAGTTAAATTTACTGCCCCTTAAGATATTATGTCTTTCATTCTTGCTAAGGTGTCATTTGTGATTTCAAGTTCAAAAAAACTCAAACTATGATATATGCTAATTAAAATTATCCATTCTAAATGAGCTAATACATGCCATTTATCTTGAAGCAAAAACAAACCACTTAAACTTTTAATTAAATAAGCACACAACTTAATTTATTGTCTTATATATGCAGTCTCACTAGATACCCCATTCTTCAGTTCTGTGCCAGCAGTTCTCACTTCCCAGACTGAAAAATAAACCAAACAACAACAAAGCCACCTAATACTTAAAACATTTAAAGGGCCTTTTAAAAAGTTATAGTCAATTCAATATTAGAAAACTGCTCATTAATATAATCTGTAAAAGACTACATATTTTGAAACTGTTACTGGCCATCAATATTAAAGACAAATAGTCCAAAGCATAAGTAAGTCAAACAAATTGAATACATAACAATATGTAACAAAAATAGGCACAATATGAAAAAAGTTGCACAAGGTTCAAATTTCAATTTAGCATTAACCTTATGAGTTCACAATTATTTTTACAAATTGGTACCATTTATGCATTTAGTTTACTTCTTGATACTAATTCAAACCTGATTGACTTCCCAACTAATCACTAGTTTGTACAACATGGTTCTAATAATGAAATATGCTATTACTCCCTGCAAGATACAGCATTATAGACTGTCAATTTTCCCTTTTCATTCCGGTTAAGAACTAAATCAACATGAATAAGAACAGTGAGAATTCTGGGGTAAAGTGAAACTTGGGAAGGATTTAAATAATTCCAACAGCTATTCATCATGCTTCTCTCTGCCATAGATAAGTAATACTCCACGATTCCGCAATAAAAATACTTAGGTTTCTTATCATTGTTTTCCTGGGTCAGGTGTATATTCCTTAAGTTTATATGACAGCTACAAAGAAAAGTAGATATTTTGCCTAACAGAAGCTTTTGCAGTAAAGCAGACAACAAAGAATCAGTTTCCAAGGAAAATTGGCTTGATTTCAGGGACTTTATATCCTTTCCACACCTGGGTTTAGGATTTGCAGAAGGCAAATCAATATTTTCCTGCCTTATGTTAGCCCATTCCAAGTGCATTTAAAATCACAGATCTTTAATAGTATTTGACAAACTTACTAGAATCTGTAAAATCAACTGTTAAAACTGAATTCTCAGAGTAAAAAACCGATTAGAATAGGTAAGCCTGCTCAAATTTTGAAGGAATTTCAGTATTTTAAAGTGACAAACAGCTAATTTAGGACCTAACCTGATCCTAAAACATAGACTAAAATGAAGATTGTCATAAGTTATCTTATTATTTGATTATTTTTACAAGACATTCTGTCATAATACAAAAAAGTTTTTTTTCTTTTAACTACTAGCAACTCTCTCCATTCCGACATTTTTATATCCTTACTGCCTTTTCTTCAAGTAGGAGGACAATGTAAGTAGAAGGATTTGAAAAGGGCTTAAAACAAAAACAAGATCAAAACCAAAACCCCTCAATAACTAGCTAGCTTAAATTAAAATCTTGAACACCCAAAAGACAAATGCCATGTATTGTGAGGCAGCAGACCAGAGTCAGAATGAACAAATACTTGCACAAGTATCAGTTTATCACCACTAACTTACATGACCATATGGTCATTTAAGAATTTGAAATTTAAACTGAATTAGTTTTCTAATCAATATTTTTAATTTTCCCTAATTAGCAATTAAATTAGTACCTTCTTTGATTTTATTTCATTTAATAATAATTTGTGTGAAAAAAGTAACTTTTTAAAAAACTCAAAGCTTTCAAAAATTAAGAAATTTTTTCACCTACAACACAAAAATAATATTACTCAGGAAAAATGATCAAGGATTTTCAATTTGTTTTTAAACTTTGCTTCTTTCTCTCAATGTATTATACTGGTTAGAATTCATTCTTCAACTTAAAACTGAAAAAATGATGCCTGAAATTGGCATCATTTTGCTTCTACATTAAAAATGCTAATATTTATAAATTATAAAATATAAGATTGTTTTAACATTGTATTTTTATCCTGATGCAAGCAAACTGACACATAATGTACACATAATGTACAATGTCACTATGCATTCTAAGGCTAGCTAGACAGCATCTTGTCTTCCTTTGAAACCACTCCCACTACAGGTATCTCACAAGTTGAAGGAGAAAAATCATAATCCTTCAGAACTGACCCACATCTTTTCTCTAAATTGTACAAAATTAAAAGAGTATGTCTACTGTCTATTCATAGAAAAGCAATTGATGTCAAAAACAACTACATTCAATTTTTTCGTGGCAACTAGCATTTCAAAATATTATTTTGAATTAACTTCAAAAAGGTAAAAAGATTTTTTTTAAAAACTGAACTATTAAGAAATATGTAAGACAATCTGTCTGCAAAAAAAATTGTGGAATATTTTTTAAAAGATATCTTAAAAACGGTAGGAAAAAGACTGATTATTTTCAAGTCCTTGAAGTTTAAAATATATTTCATAACCTAAATAGTATGCCACAGAGAACAGTTTCAGCCAACTGTGGCACACAATGGCACACTTACAGAATTTTAAATATTTCTTTTAATAATTGATGTAGTCATTTTGAATCATTCTGCATAGGATATCAGGTGTGAGCAGATTGCATTAACACTGCTTAAACATTTCAACTTGTCAGTATGGCCAACTCGATTTCGGAAATATTTGCAGTATTTTCCCATCGAAACAGTAATAAAGGCAAAATAAATATATGCCACTACTTTATAATCACCGAACATTAATGAATATTTTATGTCTTTTTAAATCTCCCTGTTTAATTTAAAAGGGTGAAATTAAGTCTCCTCCCTGCAATATGCCAATTATCTGTAAATCAAACAATAACTTGGCCATTATGCTCCTTTTTGTTAATATAAGAGAAGCTAATTTGAAAACACTGAATGGCATTTTTAGGCTATCAGCTTAATAGTCCTTTCTGCCCTCTTGTGGGAGAAATTTGAAACACACACAAGTTATAGGAATTAGCAATATATATGAATTTTAAAGCAAAATTTTAGCTATTAAAAATGTCAACCACACAGAAAAAGAAAGCAATCTATATCAATCAAGCATTTTGCTACTCTTCAAAACAGTAAATCAGCAACAAAAAGAATTAACTATTTCAAAACTAAATTTCCTTGCTTATATATCCACATATATAATTTATATTTTAGTATAATAAAGATCCTTTACCAATTCTGATAGACATATTTATAATATAAAAACAAAAATTATTTTTTCTTAGAATCAAAAAAATTAACTTAAAGCACATAATACTCAATTAGAGATTTAAAATGAAATGGCAGTTTACACAACATTAAAAAAATAAAATCAAACTTAGTATTCAATTTAGGAGTCAGAAACAAATGCCAAAGACTTTAGCTACCAGTTACAAACTACATAGTGATTATTATAAGAAAATAAACCTAAAGCAGTGAATTGTTTAGGGCAAATTCAAAAGGTGAAATCCACTGATAAACCACAAAAATGAAAAAATGTAAACAATTAATAGTCAAGCTATTACTGAAAAATTCATATACTTCTGGAAAAAAATGACTTTCTTTCAAGATGGCATTAGAAACCATTTAAAGCAATATAGCCTAAAAAATTGATGAAATAATCCAATATTAACTGTGATTATCTTTCAAATTAGTAGATTAAGTAATTGTTGCCTTCATAAACTATGAGTAACAGTACATAGGCACTATTTCAATGATTCTAAACACACGTCTTGATAGCCTTACATCTTTTTCCCCAAGGAAAGAAATTGTTTAAGGTGGGTGGGGCCAATTACACACCAAGAAGGTACCTCCTCTGTCTTGGGGGAGGTTCTTTTTTGAAACAGTGGCCCTTCTTGACCACACTGAAGAAAATATTGACACTATAAATAGACTATTCTCAGATATTCCAGGCTACATGACAATCTCCAACAGCACCTTATAAACACTATTCAAGGCTTTTCTTGCCTCCTCAAATTCCTTTTAAAAACAAAAAAGTACATAATATAAATACATATTTGAGTGTGACCTTTCAAATACAACATAACTATCATCCAAAATGAATGTTATAATTTCCAAATTAATATTTTGAATAATTACACTATAAAGCAATAAAATACCTTATACAATATTCTTAAGCAGGGTTTTAAGTAGACTCGTTTAAGAATTATCAAGAGCTCCCATTTACAACATCTACATTTCTAGGTCAAGTCATTTATTGTATCTACAGTAATCATTGATGCTCCAGTTAATTAAAATGAAAAACCCAATAATGAAACATAAAGAGAGTTTCCAACTAGAACAGATAAGCCCTCTTTAACAGGGTCAACATTAGCTATAATGAGCTACCTTTATTCCTTAGCTGTGAGGCATAACTCACCTCTTGAATGGTACTGCTTCCTGAGAAGTTCAGGTTGTACTCCCGCTGGACTTCTCGGTGGGTGATGATCAGCATGAAGTTTTGATTTAATGACTCCTGCAGGGCACTGAAAGGGTTGAAAGAAAAACAAGGAACTCAGAGATGAACAAGTTCTAGCTTGCTTTACAGCTAGTTGCAAAAACCCCAGGAGTACCCTAACCTCCACACAGGCATGTCGGGGCCCAATGTTATCATCCTTTCAGCTCCTAAAGGCAAGAGAGCATGCTGAGAACAACCAAGGGGAGCTAACCTGTTAACTCCTTCTCTACCAAGGTGTTTTAAACCATCAATTGTAAATTCTTTGCATAGGTACACATTTTCTACAATATCACTGTCTACATAGTTATTTTCTCCAAAAGAATCAACTGTCAGTTAATCAGATTTCAAATACCTGTTTCAATACATACTTAAATAATGCCTGCTAAAATATATACTTTATTCTAAATGAAGCAGCTGTCCTAAAAGAACTGTGTTAAGTATTGCTTATACTTATGAACATTGCACAAAATAAAAAGTTTCAGTCAACATTTAGAAGAAATCTATAAAACCTTATTTGCAAGAAAAAAGCCAGAAGTGGCGCTGTGGCTCAAGTGGTAGAGCACTAGCCTTGAGCTGAAGAGCTGAGGGACTGTGCCCAGGCCCAGAGTTTAGGCCCCATGACCAGACCCAAAAAAACCAAAACCTTTTTTGCTACACCAAAATTCCTTCAAAATAACTTTAGTGTAACAATAAGGACTCAGGAATCTATAGAACGCAGAGATTCATAGCAACTTTATAAAAAAAATCTTATGCCAAAGTATCAAAATGTCAGTTATTTGTCAGACAATAAAGAATATGAGCAATTGGCCACCAAAAGCTTTTAAAAATTAGGAACATTTTATCAAAAAAATATAACTATGATTATATCCAAATATTTTGTAATGCCTTTCTCAAGTATATATAAATTTGCCCTATCTGTAGCATCAGGAACACATATTGGGTGTGCTACCTGGATATGACCTTCATCAATCCTCTTCTGCCAATATGTAACCATGTGAGAAGTATAGATGCAGCAAAAAGATTAAGATTAGGTAGTTTATCAGTTTCTTCTATTGTCTCCAGAGTGTTCACAAATTACGGACTTAAAAATACATTAAAAGCACTAATATATATCATAAAATATTACTAATCAAAAGCAAGGGAAACCATAACTAAAATAGCTCCTTAATGCAAGAGTATCTGTCACTGTATCCTTAGCTGTGGCTCTTAGCAAGTACTTATCAAATAATAAATTCCAGAAGGTTGAGTCTTATTAATCTTTTGTCTCACACAGCAATGTTCCTTCTAGAAAACTATCACTGAAGTTTGATACATTTGTCAACATTAACTCAATGCTTTGCATTATTACGATTACTGAGGAAATTAAGTTTCCTGTGGAAAATTCAGTGTAACTCAGAGATAGAAAAGTACATAAATAACTATAATGACTACTATTGAGAAGTTGGGGGGGGGGGAGGGAAAGTGCAATGAAAATTAACAAATTAGTATTTAACAATGCCCTGACTAAAAGATAAAAGAGTTTATGGAATATATATTGAAATATAAAGGGTAAATAGGATCTTAGAGTTTATCACTCATAAGAGATAATTTTGTTGTTACTGCTTGAGGAAGGGAAGCAGGTGGCATTTTTCACACATTGGGCATTTACCTAAAACACTAGTGAAGAAGACTGGGGAAACACTGGTGAACAAGAAAATGGTCCCAGTTTTCCTGAAACTTTTATTAACATTATCAAGGCTCAGTAAATGAATAATTTTAAAGTAGTTAGTACAAAGAAAATAAAACAGGATTTTTTTTTTTTGTCAGTCATGGGGCTTGAACTCTGGGCCTGGCAATGTCCCTCAACTCTTCAGCTCAAGGCGAGCGCTCTACCACTTGAGCTACAGCGCCACTTCCGGTTTTCTGGTAGTTTATTGGAGATAGGAGTCTCAAGGTCTCTCCTGCCAGGGCTGGCTTTGAACCGCGATCCTCAGATCTCAGCCTCCTGAGTAGCTAGGATTACAGGCCTGAGCCACCAGCGCCCGGCTTAAAACAGGATTTTAAAATACAATATAAAAGAGGGACAGTCAATTTAATGTTAGTATGTAAGAGAAAAATACTTTCCAAGGTTCCTAGCCTGAGTAAATAAAAGGTAGAATTTCATTAACAAGGAAAACTGAGTAGAGAAAGTAAGTGGAGGTTTGGATATATTAAGTTTACGATGCAAAAAGAAATGCCAGGGCAACAGTCAATTAAGAGAGCTCCCAGCAGGAGAGTAGCTCCCAGCAGGAGAGTCAATAGTATATAAATGTTATTCAGATTTTGTGTCCAAAAAAAAAAAAAAAACATCACCAGTAGATACAGGTTACCACCAAAAAGAACTAGAACAAGATGGAGTTCTAGGGCATTCCTGTCCTTTAAAATCAAGAAATAAGTTTAAAAACTGTTACTGAGATAAATCCAAAAGAAAGCCAGGTGCCAATGGCTCATTCCTGTAATCCTAACTAGTCTGGAGGCTGAGATCAGAAGATCAGGTTTTGAAGATCAGGGTTCAGGAAAGTCCATGAGACTCCAATTAACCACCAGAAAATTGGAATTGGTGCTGTGGCTCAAAGTGGTAGAGTGCTAGCCTTGAGCAAAAAAAAGCTTAGAGACAGGGCCCAGGCCCATGACCACAAAAAACAAACAAAAATCCAAAAGAAGTAACTGCTTCAAATATGAGGGCAAGATCAATTACACTAAATGCATTTGAGATGTTATTGCAGAAGCCTGGAAAAATTACCATGTTCAGGGCAACATTTTAAAAGCTCAGTATAACTACAATAAAGAACACATGACAGAAGTATAGCAGGAAAACAGAAGCTCAAGCAATGGGCTGGGTTCAACATATGCATGTGCAGGTTAAATGAATTTGTATTCAAAATATCAAATAAAGCCTTCTGAAATTCTCAAGGCCCCTTCACAGACAGACTTATTTCACCACTATTCTCCACATTTAGTAGAACTTGACTGTCTTTAAAAGCACCAAAAACACTGATCCCACCATGCTTGCTTCAATCTTTGTTCATGTTGTGCTCATCCTTTCCTTTCTCCATCTCCAAATACCAAATTAGCTTTCAGACCATCTTTTTTTCAAGTCAGTCACTTACATTTATTATCAATCTCTTCTTCTGAATTCCTATACCACATACTTTACCACTAATCAAAGCAGGTCTTTTGCCTCTCCCCCTATATCACCACCCCCATTTGGAATCAAAGACTATAAGCGCTTTGAGGGCAGGTAATATTTATTTTGGACTGAGAAAAGAGCTTGAGCCTCAGATTACCTCAAACTCCATCCTTCTGCCTTCTTTTGGGATATAGATGTGAACCACATCACGTAGCCAAATTAAACCCATGGTCCACTGAGGTTAGGTGTTTACCTACACTCTTTTTTTACAACAGCATTTATTGAGTGCCTCTTTTTTTTTTTTTAGCACAGCCCCATTTTAGGCATTTAACTATTCAGTAAATTGTTTCTTTTCAAAAAAGGATAATCATTCTTTCTTCACAAACTATGAAGGTAACATCTTCAAAACTTATATTCTCAAATGAGAGAATCTTATTGCATATTAAGTTTTAAAGTGACCTAATATAACCTACTGAAAATAGGACATTTGTGAAAGGTACACATACTTTAAAATCTTAAAATGGCAAAAAAAAATTAGTAAGATGATCTACAGTACTTTTTTGGGAGTTTTTTTTCATGTTTTTGAAGTTGCTACACAGTGAAAACTTTATTAAGCCCAATTGTATATCATGCCTATGGATCCAGATTGTTAGTGGGTTTATTTTGGTTTTTATTGGTGGTGTCAACTCAGGGCCAGGGCACTTTTTTTTTTCTGCCCAAGGTTGGAGCTCTACCCCTTAAGCCATACCACCACTTCTAGCTTTTGGCTGGTAATTGGAGATAATAGTCTCACAGACGTTTCTATCTGGGCTGGCTTAGATCTCAGACTCCTCAGTAGCTAGTATTACAAGCATGAGCCACCAGTGCCTGGTTTGCATTTTTTATACAACTTGGTGGTAGTAGATCTACAATATTCCAGATCCTAGAAAGTGTCAACTAAGGGCAATATCTTCCATCTCAGACTCTAGCCTTATTCATGCACTTAAACATCAACAATAATAGCTGATCCTAATGGTTTCTCAGAAAAGTCAACCACAATTAAGCTACCCTCAAAGCAGTCTCTCTTTATTCTGAAGATGGGAAATCATTAACAAAACTTTTGATCTTCAGAGTTTAAAAAAGATTGTCAACCTAAAGAGATGTGAGAAATAATGAAACAATTTTGTTTTAGTTTTAAGTGGTATGTTTTCTCTTCAATTTGAGGGAGAGGAAAAGGTAAAAATAAATGTACAAACTCTTCAAAAATAGTTTGAGCCAGGCATTAGCGGATTATACCTATAATCTTGTCTACTCAGAAGGCTGAACTCTAAGGATTGAGATTCAAAGCCCACCTAGGTAGGAAAGTCCTTAACATTCACATCTCCAATTAACCAGCAAAAAGCTGGAAGTAAGGGTATGGCTCAAGTGGTAGAGCAAGTCTTAAGTGAAAAAGCCAAGGAAGAATATGAGACCCTGAGGCCATAATTGGAGATTTTGGGGGGAAGAGTGGGGGAAGAGGAAGAGAGTGAATTTTTAACTCAGTGCAAAAAATACATTTACATGACTAGAACTTACATTGTCTCTAATTTAGTGTGTGTGGGGGGGGGAGGGGTCTGCACATAAGCCTGCTTTTTTGCTCAAGGCTGGTGCTCTATCACTTAAGCTATACCTCTACTTCCAGGTTTTTGGTGACTGTCTCCTAGACTTTCCGAGCAGGGCTGACTTCAAATTGCAATCCTTAGTTCTCAGCCTCCTAAATAGCTAGGATTTCAGGTATCAGCCATTGGAGCTCAACTTGACTCTATTGATTTTTTATTTTATCTTATTTTATTTTATTATGCCAAAAATGTCTGAGTTAGTGGTAGAAGGTTAATTAAAATTTTGCAAAATATGAAATAATCAGTTTTATTAGTTGAAATCATGTACTAACATTAAAATATGCAAAAAAGTTACAACAGACTCATAAAATCAATCTCCTTGCAACTAAAACACAAAGCAATGGTTAAGA